GCATTATTAGTTGCCACGTTGAACAAATTTTGATTAACAAAGAACAAAGAATGTGGCGTCCTACATTGCACGAACTTCGTCAACAATGACATGCACGTGATATCCTGTTTTTAAAATTGTTTTAATGACATCGTGGAGAAGTAGAAGACAGTTTAAACCAGATTGAAAATGAAGACCATATTATTGGTAGGAAAATTCATTTCATCCAATTCAAATTCATTTAAAAGGAACTTTCATACACTATCAAGTAATGTGTGCTATCTTAATTATGTCTTACAAAAAAATACAAAGCTCTCCAGCTGGTCCAGCAAGATATTGCCAAGTCACAGTCACAAATAATGTCATTACGTAGGAGTCAATTTTAACTTTTTTGGTTCTTGTCGCGACAAAAGTCATCAGTGCATGTTACCATTCATTACATTATAATACTTACGGTAAAATACAGGTTTCTTTGAGATTAAAAATTTATAGAACTATATGAACTAATGCAAAATGAACTTAAATACAAAGGCAGTCACTAAAAGAACGGCTCAGAATTTATTAATTTATACTGGATGGTGATGATCGACAGTAATAATGCATTAAATTTGATTCAACTCATACCAACATGTCTAATTGATGCAAAGCTATAACAACTAAACTAAAGCAGAACGTGGAACCACTGGTTCGAAAAAATACTATCATTTTTTTCTTGTTAAGCCTATATTTATAACGTTTAAGCATTTTTACTGGTCTCAACGTTAGTCAATTTAGCTATTTTTACCAGCGAGTACTTTTTGGATGCCGGCAAAAGTTAAGAATTCGAATTATCTTCTCAAATTCTCTAAATCAACATCATTGAAAGTTTGAACTTGAGTACAAGTTCTTGCCAAAAGCTTTTCTTGGAAATAAAACACAGTTCAATTATATTTTGTTCTCACGCATAGTATTACACGGTGTGTAAACAGGAAAAAACATCCACCTTGTTGAAATGAATATGAATTACAAGAGTGATCTTTTTCAATCAGCTACAAAATGACAGAGAACTCATTTAAAAGGACTTTAATCCGTGATAAATTCGAAATGTGTGTAACGCTCTCAACATACATAATATTATCTATGAAGACAAACAAATACTGCCAAGTCACAGACAATCTTATTACGCCGGAGTTAATTGATCGTCACGACTAAACTCAACTTGGAGTGCATGCTACCATTGTACATATTAAAATACCTGAAAACCAAAAATACGCTTTTCGAGTGTTAGACAAGTTTGTATGAATAGATGAGGTAATGATAAGCGTCAAATAACAAGTCCTTGGACATTTTCTTCTATTACAAAGTTATGATCAATCTGAGTTGAGTTGTAAGCTATTGTATATTTTAACTGGCGCTTGATACTGATCCAGTCAGTACATTGAACAACACGTAATGCTTTCAATAAAATGTACTTATTAGATCGCTAATAAATAATACGTATATACAAAGAAACAGAATGAAACATTGTTGAGTGCATCGAATTGTTTATTATGATAACAATATTTCAGCCCAACATTCACTACCAATGTGCTTCACATATTTGAACTTAATCCAAGAATTCAAGCCAATAAAATTTAACGAGCATTGAGTACTCTTTAATCTGTTGCCGATAAAATCTCTTTTAATATACTGTCCACATATTATGTATAAATATAGTAACGTTAATGTCTAGTTTAAAATAAGCCAACATGCAAATATTGCTACCTGTGTTCATTTAGTGCAAAAGCAATTAAATAATAAAGGATATATAATGCCGACACGTAGCCTTCCCGATAATTGGGAGAGGGGGAGGGGAGTAATATTCATTACGTACATGATATGCCATATTAATTTTCATTCGAATTCAATTATATTTTAAAAATAGTTAGACAATTAAGTGAATTTTTCGTCCTTCCACCCCACAGGTACCAAGCTGGCTGGTATAATTCCTATTTTGCGTATTAGTGATACATTCAGCTATAACATCCTGTTGCCCGGTGCAGTTGTAAGAACAAAATTTGTTATTTGTCAATTTTTTTAATGACATCGTGGAGAAGTAGAAGACAGTTTAAAACAGATTAAAAATGAAAACTATAATATTGGTAGAAAAATTCATTTCATCTACGTAGATTTTGTTCCTCCACGTCGGAGCTGAGTTGTTGGCAGAATGGAATTTGCTTTATTTAAAAGGAACTTTCATACACTATCAAGTAATGTGTGCTATCTTAATTATGTCTCACAAAAAATAAAAAGCTCTTCAGGTGGTCCAGGAAGATATTGCCAAGTCACAGTCACAAATAATGTCATTACGTAGGAGTTAATTTTAACTTTTTTGGTTCTTGTCGCGACAAAAGTCATCAGTGCATGTTACCATTCATTACATTATAATACTTACGGTAAATTACAGATTTCTTTGAGATTAAAAATTTATAGAACTATATGAGCAAATGCAAACTGTACTTAAATACAAAGGCAGTCACTAAAAGAACCGCTCAGAATTTATCAAGTTATACTGGATGGTAAAATATGTAATGATATTTTTTTGACTGTGACATGGCAATATCTTGATGGACTTGCTGGAGAGCTTCGTGTTATTTTGTAAGACAAAAGATAGCACACATTAGTGTGTGAAAATTCCTTTTCTATGAAGCACTTTCTTCCAGCAAGATACTGCTCCAGTCAATAATTGCACTGCACGTAATGCATTTCTTTAAATAAAGTACTAATAAAAGCGTTTGGCTTTAATTAAGTAAATAATACGTATTTGAAAAGAACAAAATAGAACATCATTGGATTCACGACATTCAGAAAATTAATTGTTTAGCATAATAACAATACTTCAGTTCGTCATAATGTGTTTGGCATATTTGAATCATATTCCGGCCAGACTATATGCCAATAAATTTGCTGGGCTTTAAGCTTTCTCTCTGACAAAACCTATGGACAAAACCTATTTTAACTTACCATTTATATAGTGACTTTGCTATGTAATTTTAAATACGCTGTATGGAAATATTTTTAGCTGTGTTCATTGAGTGCAAAAGCAATTAAATAATAAAGGATATATGTATAATACTTATTTTGACCAGAATTGGCCAAGTAAGCCAACATCCTGCTGCATGTTCAACTGTAACAACAAAATTTGAGGTCGTTGATCGTTGTTAAAGTTTTTCAACGATAACGAGAAGAAGTATAAGACAGCTTCAAAGTAGATTTAAAATAAAAACAAATAATAAGCATTCATAAATAAAAACTAGAAGTTAAAGCTAGTGGGAGTTCCATTGAATTTCATTCTCACCGTGCCGTGAAATCAAAAATATACGTACGGGCTATAGCTAAATGCCATGATCGATACTATATAATATTTTGAAGCTACGTTTTCGTTAGAAGAGCTCATAAAGGAGTAAATTTTCATCTATTTACAAGTGAAAGTTTTTACTTTCTGCAGGAATGCCTAGATGGAAAAACCAGAATTGACGTTCATTGTGATATCATCAGGTTGCATTATTAGTTGCCACGTTGAACAAATTTTGATTAACAAAGAACAAAGAATGTGGCGTCCTACATTGCACGAACTTCGTCAACAATGACATGCACGTGATATCCTGTTTTTAAAATTCATAAATGCCTTTCTTTTTTCAAAAGCTCGTCACTTTCAACAGCACTTCAATAGCGACGGAGGTATCTGCATAGACGCTTCAGTAGAGAAAAGTTGAAGAAACATCACGTATGTGCTACTTATATCTAATTTTACATGAAGTCAGGTATTGTGGTTATACTGCTTTAGAGCTACTCAATTTATACAATCCCAAAGGCTTGATTTTCTTTTACAAAAAGTTTTGTTTGGCTTCGTGTTTGTTCCACAAATGTTTTGGCGGAGACTACAGGGTACTGTACTGTATTTTCTACTATAAGTCATTTTGGCATGACTTATTTATTGCCAGAGAACTTGTTAATGTGCCTGCATGTGAGTTGAGTCTCATCAACAAGGATTGTATGCACATAAGATGTCCTTTATATTATAATAATCCTAAAAGGCTTTTCTAAATTAATCAAGCAAAGGCAAGTAAAACCTATAATGTTTTAAAACTAAACTGCATATTTTCCTTTCTAAGCAAACCTTTTAAAGGTGACTGTCGATAAAGGTGCAATGAATTTTAGAAAGTCAATTCTAAAATCAGCGCTCTCTCTCTATAAAATTAGAAGTACTTTTCCTTTCAAATATAGATGTACATGTTTGTGCATTCATTGTAATCATTTTAAAGAGATTATTTTTAATAAATTTAATAAATAATTATTTTTTATAAATTTAAGGAGATTGGTCCGGACATTGAATACTAAAACAAATATACATATTTTACTAAATTAGTTTAAATTGCTTGCAGAGAAAATCCGCTGCTACGTGAACCAAATCTTGAGTGTTTCATCGTTTATAAACATATTTCACTTTACTAGATGTTACACATATTCGAATCGTTTTGACTTAAAATCTATCGTTACAAAGTTATACATGATATATAATTACAAGATTACAAATGTTGGGATACCATAAGGGCACCACGTGATTCAGCTCTAAATACTTTGATACAACATAACAGCTATTATTAGCATGTAAATTTACCCTGTGATGGATCCATAGTTAATAAGAATACAATGTATATTGTGGGCTTACTGAAGCATATTTATGAGCAAATTATGTATTACCAATATTTTTCTGTTTATTTTTTTCGGATTGTAAATAATTACTGAGTTATTCTACCCTGGATTCTTTACTGGTATTTGCAGAGGTTGCATTCGTTAATTTATGCTTCTTTCCTATGAAAGCAGTTGACCATTGTAGTAGTACTATATTGTGAACAATGTCAATTCATATTAGTGCATTATAGCTTAAAAGGCATTGAAGACTTTGCATATTCAGTAATTTCATAATTCAGACTACCAATTGCAAAACTACCTTTCAGTCTTGTTCTATAGACAAGTAAAACACATCAATAGCCATTTCTTTTCAAGTGTCTTTCCACTAAATAAAAATTCACACAAACAAAAGCAACGTTCTTACATGCAAATTCTTACTCTTTGCAGAGACCTTTCTTTCATTATGAATGCCCTTCATATTTCTATTGCAATTTTATCACTGCTCGTTCTTTCACAAGAAGTGGATGCTTTGAGATTTATTAGAAGAATAAGACGTGTACACGGGTATTCATACGTCACAAGATGCAAGTCACAAACCGAAAAATGTGTAAGCCTTAGATGTGGAAGAAGACGTGCTGTTACTGTACCATTCAGCTACAATTATTTATGTTGCAGAGGTGAGATATATTCAGTTTAAAAGTTTAAGGTTAATTGTATAATATACAAAAAATGTCACTATTAGACCAAAACATGACGATCGACTTAAAAAATAATTTGTAATATTATTAATAGCCATTTCCTTTTAATCAACCATCTATAGGAAGTTTGTACAACCAAATGAAATATGTCTGTGTTCGCTACAACTATGGTAGTCATTCACGAATCGTTTTGGAACATTGTAATCCTTGTCGCCAATTCAAATGTGAGAATGGAGAGTGCACAAAGAAGCAATGGAAATGTAATAACATTAAAGATTGCGCAGATGGAAGTGATGAGGTATTTATCAAATGTTTGTTGCATCCACTGTTTGTTTTATGCCTCTTTGTGTGTAAACAGGAAAACTCATAAGCTAACAAACTTTGGTGTCTTTTTATAAATCATACAAAACTTTTTGAATCCATTTTCCATCACTTACGTACCATCAGTTGATAAGAAATTGGTTGACATTTTTACGATTTTTGTGAAAAATTGTTCGAGAAATAAAATTTTTCTCCCTATCCAGGGCAATTAAAAGCCCATTAAAACAGAATTTTGTCCTTATAATTACCATGTATGCTGTAAATTGCTGTTTAGACAAGGTTAATAATTGGCTTTCGTCTGATTTATATGGACGGATATTTACTGTCTCTTAGAGCTTTCTATAGTGTGAATTAGCGGCTTTGATAAATTTCGATAATAACATAGTGACATTCTTAATCACGTATGCATTTCAATTCTAAGTTCTTTGTTTCAATTCTTCTCACGAAGAAAATTGTTCTTCTGCTCTGCATGCCTAAAGTGACCCCAATTACAAGACACTGTGAACTTGCAGAAATATGGGGAATTGTTAAAAATGAGTTTAGCCCAGAAATTACAAAAAATTTCACGATAACTATAAAATGCATAGCTACATAATCATTATGTTTGTCTTTGTCAGTTTAATTGTAAAAAGACTTTTACCTCTTTACTAGGTGATTTACTAAGTTATTACTGATGTTAATGTGAATCTCGCAGCAAATTAAGATGATTTTTAGTTTTTTCCTGCCTAGGAACTGCTTCATTTTCACGGCAAAGCAGAACAATTTTACTCAAACCAAATTACAAAAGCATTACTGCCATTATGTGATAAGGGTAGAGTGTATCTTTCTAAAGGAAAATATTTTAATTACACGAACACATTTCCTATTCAAAAGGAAAAGTGTAAAAACGTACATACTAAAACTCGCTTTTAATACCTCCTATAGAACACTTTCAAAACATAAATGTCTGTTGTTTTTAAAAGAAATATTTTTGTGCCAACAAATAAGGTCTAAATTTTAACTCGTGGATTTATTTCACGTTCATTCATCACTTTGTCAAGCAAATATTTAATAACTTTTGAATGAAGCAGTGCATAATATCAAGAATTATTTCGACTAAGGTTAATGTTATCTGCTTAAGAAAAGCATTTTTATCATACAATGTAAAGCTTATGGACATTGTGTGATAAATATATGTTATTTACCGGCTTGGAGGTCCGTGCGGCAAAAATATTTTCACGAGGGCTTAAAAGCGGCCTGAGGCCAAAATATTTTTGCCGTACGGACCGACCTAAACGCTAAATAAAATATTTATTTTTATTTTATTTTGAAGAAATTTTTGTAAAACGGCCAATGGCTCGATGCAACTTATGTTGAGAAAGTGTTAACCAAATTTCATCGCTTTTAAATCAGTTTTACAAATTTATATTATAATTCGTAAACAAATACATTGCGAAAAAAATATCACTTCTGCTCACGGGCAGATATCGTAAAAAGCTGTCCGCTCAGGCAGCCAATCAAATTGCTGGAAATCAAAAAAATATCGCTTTGGACCGCTAAATAAAAAATAATAACACTTATTTTGCATTGTCTGATAAAGGTTGTCGTCTTTTTAGGTTGGGTGTCCTAAATGCCGTCGTAGGAAATATTTATTTGCTTGCAGAAAAGGAAGGAAATGCATTTATAAGAGCAGAGTGTGTGACAAGGTCAACAATTGTCCTGATGGATCTGATGAAGTTGGTTGTCCAACTCCACTTGGAAACAAATGTGGACCACATCAATATCGTTGCAAGAATAACAAGTAATGTCTTGACCTGTTTTTTTGAAATGCAGTGGATACTAAAGTTTTTTCCAATGCCTCGATTCCTCTGCACATATTAAAACTTGATAAATGAAACATGTATTTTCAAGTTTATAACAAACAGTAAGATCTGTAGCTCACAGCATGGCATCGTGACTAATGTACAATTTGTGATAGAAAAAAGTCCAAGTCTTGCTTCATCAAAAAAGACTAAAGTATAAGCAGAATGAAACTAAGCAATTTACAGTGTATTCCAATTTCTTTTAATTATAATATGCTGTGGTAGTTCTGCATGAGAAAATGTTTATGGAATGAAATATGAAGCTTTTTACGGTGATTTTTTTCTGTTTTGATTTTTCGTATTTCCTCCATTAGTTAAATCATCGTTCAAAGATTACTTTGGTTTTTTAAGAGCACTTATTTTACAATACTATGTTTAAATCATACAACACCCATGTCGGTCTTCAGAAACGATTTCCATGTAATATATTAACAGAAATTTTAGAAGTCCACTTCTTTTACCCTGTCTATGCATGTTTCATGTTTATGATTCAAATTCATTTGCAGCTTTTTTTAGAAATTTGCATGTTTTACAGAAATATCGGAAATAGTAAAATTTTAGTTCATTAGAGCAAGCGTATCAAATATTACGAAAATGATTTTCCTTTCTTAATTTTTTCTGAAGGCTTTGACATATTTTCTATATTTTAAAGCCATGCATGCTCAGAGAATCAGAATATAAATTCAGACACTGTTATTTGCACATGAAAAACATGTGGTTTATCTTTGAACTCGCGCATCTTTTGAGATACTAGTCCGAATTTTGTCGAAGCCAGAGGTTTTTTATTGGCAAATAACCCTTTCAGAATACATATATAATATAATCAAAGAAATATGCTTTTTCAATTTTTTTCACAGTTCAAAAAACTTGAATTTTTGCATCAATAGGACAGTTGTCCTAAAGTGTACATATTATGAAATCTCATATTCTATATTTAAGGTGCATTTATTGGACAGCATGCAATGTATTAATAATCAGGCGATTGGTCTGATGAAAGAGGTTTCTGTAAACGTCGTCAGGAAACGAGAAGAAATCCTAATGACGAAGTAGGCAACGGTGATGCTGAAACAGGAACTACTTCAGGCTGAAATGCTTTAAGAGCTTCAGGAGGAACTGCTTTAAGAACTGCTTTTCTTATTGAATGAATGTAGCTTCGTTGTTTTTATTGTCTTTTCATTATTTTCAATTTATACTTGTAACCCTTTTGCTAATTTAAAATCATCGCCTCAAAATAAATTCCGCAAGCAAAAATTCGAGTTCTAAACATTTGAACCATAAAAATTTCAACTCAAATTGCAAGTAAACGGCTTTTAGTGAGTAGCTATTTTACTTCTGCTACGCAATATTTCTATTTCTGTTTCATCAAAGCACAACCAGTTTCTAAATTTTAAAACTCATGCTAATGGTTCTTAAATTGAGAACCTGGTGTGGAATTTTGCCGTAGAAGCATCCGCAGTTTTAAAAGCAGGCGAATTCTTTTTTCCAGGAGTTACTCATTGCAAGGAAAGTGATTTCTCTTAATATGAATTTAAAACGATTATATACGCTTATGAAAAACTTACGACTTGGACGATGATTAATTTGTACATTTGGGATATTGTTGCGCGTCTATACCTGCTGAGCTATCAAGCCCATAAAGCAAAGAGTCAAATCTCTATCAACCTGCGAATGGATGGAGTTATATTCTTGCCATCATCAATAAAAACATTATAAACTATAAAATAAACAAAATGAAACGCGTGCACTGATTGGTCTACAGCTGTGTTTGCATTAGCCTGTGCAAAACACTTCCCTAGCTCCAACCAATCAAATCAATCATAAATCCACTTCAATCCTCAAAGAGAATTTGTGGTAAATCGATCATGAATGCATTTTAGAGGAAAATCAAAAACTTCTGTATTTTAAATTTGTGAGTTTTGCATTATTGTTATTTTGAGAAAGAAATAGTTGATTTCTCGCAGCTGCACTTGTTATTTATACAAACCTTGAGACGTTTGTGAGAACTCTTCGATCAGGTGCAACTCGACCTTCACCTCGTGCTTCTTGCACTGATCTGCCTCGAGTTCCCAAAGGTCTCCCTGATTTGTATAGCTCTGTGCAAAACAGTAAACATCTTTTGCTCTTGCAAATATGAATCTCCAAATGCTATAAGCAAAAATTATTTTATCACCAAGATTATCTGATGGTGAATTGGAATAAAGTGCTGCCTCTTTCTTCATAAAATTGCTATTTGTAATGATTCTATTGGCACCTTTTATGTCGACATTTTTCCCACTGATGCAATTAAGCAATACCAAAACACTGGAACGCCGTGTTATTAGTAATCTGTGGTAAACTCTATTATCGTATTTTTCTTACGGTTGCTTAATTGTTCATGCCATCAGTTACTGGCGAACTCTAAGGTACAATAATCTCTTTCAGTTATGTCAGAGTACCAAAAGTTATCTATGATTTTGGAAGAGTCTGTACTTTGTGTCGTAGGCCTATGATAGACTAGTTCCAAATCAAGAAAAATTACTTCCAA